CGGACCGGCGCTGGAGCCCCCTGGCGGCGCCTTCGGCGCCGCCCCTGGCGCGCTCCGCGCGCCAGGGAGGGGGGTCCAGCGCGGATCAAAGGCTGGCAAACCCGTGGCTGCTAAAACGGAGCTCCGGGAAATTGCTTTTGTCTTTCCGGGAAGCAGCCCGATTATTATCCAGTGCGCTGGGTTCGATTCCGTTTTTTTTTTTTCTTCTTCTTCTTCTTCTTCTGGGACAAGATCGTTTTAGCAACCAGGGATATGCCAGCCCTCGCCCAGCTTCTCAGTTCTGTCTCCCTGACAGAGTGCTTGCAACGATGGCTTCTTATCCGACGAAGGCGTCTATACACACCACCGTGCCAGGCCAGGGCCATCCTGGGCCCTAGGATGGTGTATAGACCCTCCTGGCCTCGGCCAGGAGGGCGTATGCACCGTGCCAGGGCCAGAATGACCCTGGCTTGGCACGGCGGTGGTGTATAGATGCCTCCTGTGTATCTTACTTTTCTTCTGAGGAGCTGGGGCTTGGCTGGCGCTCTGGCGCTCGGTGCCCGCCGTCGCCGCCCCGGCCGTCGCCTCGTCGCCCCCCGTCGTCTGGGCCGGAAGGTCGGTCTGGCGGCTGCGTGCTCGCCGTCGCTGCCCCGTCGCCGCCTCGTCGCCGCCCGTCGCCTGGGGCTGGGTGGCGGTCTGGCGGCTCCGTGCTCGCCGCCGCCGCCTGGTCGCCGCCCTGTCGCCTCCCCGTCGCCGCTTAGACTGCTCCACATCGATTGCACACCGTACATATATATACACACATATATACATGTATATATATATAGTGATTCAACAGAACAACATATTGCCCCCCCCCCCCCCCACATAGGTTGCACCATGTCGATTGCACCGCATGTATTCTCCTCTCCTCAAAGAAGTTAGATTCTACCCCCATCACCCCCCTGGGGTCATCCCTTACGCGCTTCGATTGGAAATTCATATATGATCGTGACCCTTCGCTCATTTCCCTTACGAATTCATACCATCCCAGGCCAGCCGGTATCGACAACCCCCCGCCATCCTCTGCAACAAATATTATGCACACACATTTGTTGATCAGAAATCATAAATTTTCAAACATCCTTTGTAACACATGGGACGAAGTGCACACGCGCGCGTCGTCGCGCGCGCATGTGGAACTCTTTCAAAAACCTTCGGTTTTGGAAGGATTTCAAAATCGAGCGTCCAAACAACATTAAACAACACAGGGTTTCGCAACACGGATTTTCAAAAAATAGCGTGCGTCTGCAGTGAGCGGCTTGAGCAAGGAACACTTGCTTTTCAAAAGGGGCTCGGTCGTTCCGTAGGTTTGCATGCGTTCTTTGTCGTTCCTTATGCGTTATCTATTATTTATCATTCCTTATGCGCTAGTCCTTGGACAAAGGGGCTTCGTTCCTTATTTATCGTGCCTTAGCTCAGTCCGATGACTGCAGGCCTCCTAGATGGGGTCGGAGTGGATGGGGTCGGACGATTACGCCGCAGCGCCGATGCATCGGCGATGTACCGACGATGCGGCTCGATGTGGGGCCCAATTGTCTTTCCAGTGCATGGCGGATGCATCGCCGATGCATCGGCGATGCATCGCCGATGTATCGGCGATGCTGCGAGATCTCTGGCCCCATCTACACGGACCCAATTTAGGAGGCCTCTACGGAGGCGAGCTTTTTGCCGTTCCTCCCTGGGTAACTCTCGTCACCCAGGCCAACCTCCCCTCCCCCCCGGGTAACGCTGACGATCGTACTGGGGGGGTGGCCTGGACCCCCCCTACGTGCTGTGGTGCACACAGGCGATTGATGCGCTGGTGGCGCGGACGCACCCTGGCGGGTGCACGCCGCGGGCGCTGTGGCCGTTACCCTCCCGCCCGACCCCCCCCCGGTAACGACCGTTACTCGGGTTTTCTAAGCTCGGGGGTCCCCGAACGGGGTTGTGAGCACACCGTGTGGTGAGTCGGTGGGGATCCGCGGTCAACGCACGGTTTTGGGACCTGGGTCGTTCTACGAGGACGTCTCGGGCGACTGGGGCATCCGAGGTTCCAAGACCGTGCGGTGACGGACCGTGCGGTGGTCCGTCACCGCACCGTTTCGGGACTCCAAATGAGCCATCCTCTCGGGGGCAACGATCGGGGGGGATAGTCGGGTTGACCCAAAAGGGGGTCCAGCGGCAAGGGGGTGGTGCAATAGATGTGGTGCAATAGATTTGTGGGGTTGCAAAACATTTGGGGCGTACAATACATTTCGGGGCGCCAATGTATTGCTGTATTCTCGCGTGCAGGACGTTACTTGCAATACAATGCAATACAATTCTCTGGCGCAATACATTTGCAAGACAATTGCCCCAAATCTATTGCACCCACCCCTTTGGGCTGGACCCTCTTTTGTGTCACACAAAGATAGAGCGCTCGCTCCCCACCTCGCTCGCCGCCGACCGGCCCTTGCGGTGCTCCCGTCGGCCTCCAAGGTCTCGAGGCGTCCAGGCTTGC